TGGCCCTGCACCCTGGCTCGGCTCTGAACAGCCTGAGCTAGGCAGCTTCGCTCTGCCACATCCTTCCCCCATGATGTCCCTGTCATGGAGCCACCCGATAGTGGACTGAGACTATGAGCAGAGACAGCCTTTCCTCCTCCAAGTTGTGGGTGCTGGGTCTTATGTCTAAGCAAGGAGGGATCTAATACAGAAAATTGGTCCTGGGGGCTGGGGTCTTTACTTTCATTATACCAGGCAGTGTGGTTATACTTTGGAAGCATTTTTATCTAGATTTTTTCCATGTCTTCAGACTGTGTAGGAAACTGGGATTAAGGATGATGAAATTATTAATCTGGTAGAGAAAATTCTCAAGACAATTGAATAGAATAGTGACAGTAGGGGAAAAAGAGAAAATTATTAAAATTTTAAATTTGATCCCAAAGGAGCCACATGTAAAACTGAAGGCAAAGGAGATTATTGCTTACGGTATTAGTGTCATTACAGAGAACCAGTAATTCGTAGCGCAACAAGAAGTAAGACTCCCGAGAACTCCTCAGCAGTCAGCAGGAGCCCAGCAGCGCAGGCGCGGGCTGCAGAGCGCCCACCTTTCCTCTGAGAAGGGACTCCCCGGCAGCGCGGCTCCACGGGGGTCTTGTAGGGAACAGGCTCCTCAGCAGCCAGCTCGCTGTGCTGGGCGGCCAGGCACTCAGAGGCGGACGGGCCGCGGCCCGAGACGCCTGGCTGCTGCTTCTGCCCAGCCAGCTCTGGGCACGCCCCGCACGATGCTGGCTTACCCGCACGCAGAATGCAAGAGCTGTGTGGGCAGGGGGCTTCCACCCCAATTTTGAGGCAAATCCTGAGTCTAGGTGAGGATGGAGCCAAGGTGCCGTGGGGACCTCGGGAAGCCGGAGACGCCAGGAACGCGGGATGTGCGCCGAGGAAGGCAGGCCGTGCGTGCGCAGTGGGCAAAGCATCGAGGTGGTGCTGCCCGAGCCCACGTTTTACCGCCCTGCGTCCAGGACGCCCGAGATGGAGCCGCAGGAGTAACGGCTGTCCTGCGGGCTTCAGTCTTGCTCTGGTCCACTTCTTTTCTAGCCCTC